TATTAATTTGAAAAATAGATCTTGTTTAACCCAGCGCGCCCAAACTATTCCATTATAGTTTTCCTCTGTGATTGATATGAGCCACTGTGCCCTGATGGCGCCTCTGTGGAATCTGCACCCACATGGCCAGGGGCGACTCTCCCGGGCGGTGCTGAGGTTGTCCCGGATCTCGCACCACACATGACGGGTGCTCCAAGGAGAGGATGCTGTGTCCAGCAGGCAGGCCGGGTGGTCGGCCAGCAGCTGGGGAGCGGGCAGAGAAATGTGAGCTCTGGCAGTAGGCAGCAGTGGCCCAGGCAGGGGAGGGAAGAGCACTGTAGCTGGGGCCTCACGGCAAAAGTGCTCAAGGCGCCCACGGTGGCTGGGACTGGAAGCTGGAGGCGAGGCCGTGGGTCAGGCAGGTGCTGGCAGCCTGGTGGGTAGAGTTTAACCTCGGGGAGCAGCTAGGGGCACGGACGCTGGGATCAGATGTGGTTTTCTGGAGCCTGTCCTGGCTGCTGGCAGGGACAGGCTGAGGAGTGGGAAGCCTGCAGCAGATCCCTGCCCTTGGCCCCGACTAGAAGCAGACGGCTGTTTCGACTCCACTTCCGGCCTCGTAACCCCGGTGGATCTCTCTGGCTGTGGCTTCTTGAGCTGTAACAGTGATGGGAAATGTGCGGACCAGGGTGTCCGGGGCTCACGACAGTAGGTGAGCTCTACCGGCTCACCCTAGATGGACCTCCCTGGCCCTGGCTGGTCCTGGATCTGGATGGCTCCTTTCTCTACCCCAGTGCAGAGCTGTGGTCCACTGCGGGGCTTTTCCCAGGACCTCTGTGCCTCTGCCCACTGGGCCATGTGGTGACTAGAGGATTGTGTCCAGGGCAGGAGAACAGAAGCGTGGAAAGTCTGGAAGCCATCTCTGGAGGCGCAGTTTTGTCCACCCTGTGGCAGTGGCTACACTTTAATTCTCAAATGCACCCGCCCAGGTATTCTCTGTACTGGCCATGGGCTGGGATCAAGGAAGGATGGACAGTGCCGGGAACAGCACCTCACAGGAGATGACTTGAAGAGCAAGAAAGGTCCAGAAGCACGTGCAAAGGCCCTGCAGTGGCAATGACTGATTTGCTGGAGGAACAGACGGTTGCAAAGGGCAGAGAGAGCAAAGAGGGAGTGAAGTGAGATGAGCCAGAAGGATGGATGGATGGCTGGACAGACAGATAGATGGATGGACAGATGGATGGATGAAACTGGGTCTTGAAGGGCCTCCCAGGCCAGGCCTGCTAAAGAGTTTGTTTGGATTTCACATCCCAGACTGCTGGCTGGAGCAAGACCGAGTGGGGGAACAGGAGGCCAGTGAGGGGCTTCTGCAGGCGACAGGTGACAGAGCTGGCTGGGGTGGAAGCAGCGAGGGGAACCTGGGGACACTGGAGGCACAGTCAGCAGGCTCTGTGGTGGGACAGAGGGGGCACTGGTGTGTGGTGGCACCGCCCATGCAGCAGAGCCCGGGCAGGTGCTGCGCCGGGGCCCGAGTCCTGTTGTGCCACGGGGAGTGCCAGGTGGGGAGGGGAGGGCTGGCGGCGGTAGGCACCTGGCTGAGAGGAGTGCGGCTGTGCTTGCTTACGGCCCAGGGTCTGCTGAGCAGGGACGGCGGGACCTCCTGGGATGGTGTGGGGCCCTCGCCCTGTGCCCTGGCTGGGGTTTCTTTTCCTAAGGTCGTGGGGAGAGGAGAGGGGCCGCTGACCACCCCAGCCCTTGGGTTTGTTCTTTCTGAGCTAGGCCCAAAGCCTCGCAGAAGGGCGACTCTTAGGAATGCTGCTTCCGGACAGAGGGACAGCCACGGCGGCCCCATCAGAGGGTCCCCAGTTTCTCCTGCCCCAGGTGTCCTCCCTGGCAGGCACAGCTGTCAGCTCTGCAGGCACCGGCCCAGGACTGGCAGCCGCATGGCCTCGTTCTCTGGGGCAGCACCAGGTTCTCTCTGGTCATCAGATGGACGAACTGCTTTTTCATTCAGAAATTATGGGTCATCTTATGTGTGCTGTAAATCCTGTCAGCGCTTTTCATTTCTGTCCTAGGAAGGCAGGATGGTGTTTTTATGTTTGTTTTGTTTTTGAGACGGTCTTACTATGCAGTTGAGACTGACCTGGAACTCACTGTGTAGCCCAGGCTGGTCTCGAACTCACAGCGATCCTCCTGTCTCAGCCTCCCAAGTGCTGGGATGACAGGTGTGCGCCACCAAACCTGGATAGGATGGTCGTTTTTAAAGACAGCCTAAGAACTGGGTTGTGAATGGACCCTTGGCAAGTCAGAGATGAAGCTAGAGCTTGGGCGCAGGTTTCCTAATTATCTCACCGCCCCATCAGGAAGAAATGTCTCTGATATAGATCCAGCAGGGATCCCATAAACAGCCATCCAAGCTGTGCACTGTGCAACTCTGCTCCTAACCCTTGAGTGTGAAAAGTGCCCTCATACAGCACTGTTTTCTTAGGGTTGGGTTGGCGGGGCGTGGGCTTGGGCTGGGGTGAGAGGTGAACCCAGCGGAAGTCCACTTTAGGACTGGCCCGTGACCCTCCCCTCCCATGCTGATGTCTGGGGTTGAAATGGCAGCCTGTGCTCTCCAGGGCTCTCTGCTCAGGCAGGAGGATTTATAGGTGAGGCAGTGGCTGCCCCTGGCCTGGTTCCGTGGTCAGCTGCCGCTGATTAATGCCCTGGTGCTGCTCTCCCTCCTTTTGTTGGCACAGCCTGCCTTCCCCTCACTCAGGAGCGGGCCGTAAATCCCTGGGCTTGGAGCTGTCCCGCCAGCGCGGCCACCTAGGCTTTTGTTGGGTCTCTGTGCAGGCTCCCAGCTCACCATCAAGGCAGCCATGGCTGCTGGGCTGACCCAGGACTGGACATGTGGCTGCCTCTGGAGTCCGTCTTCCCAGTTTTCCTGTTTTATTTTTCTCCTTGGGGCCAGAGGAGATCCAAAGATAGAAAACAGGATTTGTTGAACTTCTCAGCTAGCTTTAGATCCCAGCCCGTTTAATCCTCGCCACACCAATTGTGTAGATGCAGCAGTGTGTTGCAGTGAATCCGTAACAGCACAGAGCAACAGCCTGGATGAACTACATGCTCAGCCCTTCTGAGGGCAGTGGCTTGCTAATTTGGCCAGGGTGGGCTTGGACTTTTGATCCTCCTGTCTCAGCCTCCTAGAGTGCTGGTATCAACTCATCTTTAAGATAGAAAAGTAGAGAGTGTGAGATGGGGGGCACGTGTGTCCTTTCTGAGTGGCGACCTTCCCCAGAGAGGCCACCTGGTGCCCTTCGCCCACTCCACCCAGGTTCTGTGTCCCTCAGGCTGGGACTGCGGTGGCATCAGGTCAGCAGGCTCTGCCCTGAAGAGCCGTCCCTGGCCGGCCACGGGGACAGCAGCCTTGACTCCCAGGGGACACTGCTCCTGCCCCAGGGCTCCTGGTACCACGTTGTTCCTGTTCCTTTCTTGGCCATCTCTTTGCATACTAGAGTGTGAGTGTCTCGGGGGTGTGTGGGTGCGTGTGTGTCCCCTTAGTGCCCAGGACACAGCCTGGCGTAATACAGGCCCTCAGTGAATGCTTGTTGAGCGAATGATGAAGAAATGACAGGCATGGAGGTGCACACCTGTAATCCCAGCCCTCTGGGAGGCTGAGGCGGGAGGATCACAAATCCAAGTGCCAGGGCATTAATCAGTGACAGCTGACCACGGAACCAGTGACTTAGTGAGACTCTGTCTCACAGTACAAAAAGGACCAAGGATGTAGCTCAGTGTGAAGGGCCTGCACTCAATCCTCAATAAAACAAAGCAAAACGGAAAGAGAAAAGAAAGAAAAGAAATTATACCTCTACCTTATCCATGTGGTATTGTAGACCAGCGTCAGCTCTAAGTGAAGAAAAGAATGTCCACCAGCTATTTTAAACAAATAAGGGTATTTGTTGCTATCTCGCATAATAAGATTTTTGGAAGTTGAGTGTCTGGTGCTGGTGAAGTGGTTCTGGTGTCGTTGAGAATCTAGCTTTTTATGTCCCTGGACTATATCGTCCTTTGCATACTTTTTGGAGCCTCGTGGTCACAAGGTGGCTGCTGCACCCTCAGGTGTCACATCCCTGTCACAGGCAGGAAGTGGTGAAAAAAATCTTTCCTCAGGAAGATTTGCTCTTTTCCCTAGGAAGGGAGCCTTCCCTTGGCAACTTCCCCCTACATTTCATCACCAGAACTGGGCACGAGGCCCGTCATGCCCGTCACCACCTAAGAGGGATGAGATCAGTGGTCTTAGCTCATCCTCAGGGTTATACTCTCTGGGCCTCCATCCATCATGGGAACAGCCTGGAGTGCTGGGAGCAGGGAGGGAGGGGAGGGACAGACTGTGTACCCGGAGATGCCCGTGTCATTCTAAGGTGGCTCAGGCCATGCAAGAAGTGTTTTGGGACGGGCACGGTGTACGCCAGCACCGCTGACCTCGGCCATGAAGTGGAAGAGGGGCAGGGTGGTACGCCTGGGGAGGGGGCCGGAGCCTCTGGGCCCCCGCCTGAGGTCTAATCTCGAGCCTTGCGGGTTGAAGGGGGTGGCATTTTAAAGGGGGGCAGTCCGGGCTCGTGCGGAAACGGAGTTCTGAAGTTGCCGCGGGGAGAGCTTGGAGAGACGAGTATTTAAGCTTGGATGTCGGCTGGCCAGCCTGTGGGTGTGGGGGTGCAGCCTGCGATCCCTGTGCTCCAGTCTGAGTCCAGCTTGGGCCATTCAGCGAGACCGGAGCTGGGGCTGTAGCTCAGTGTAAAGGTGGGGTTCGGGGTCCGGCACCCACCCCCCGTTTCCCCTGCAGCCGTTGACTCTGACATGTGGCCGGCCTTGTGGCTGGTCTAAGATGGGCCGAGAAGGGCTGTCTGTGCCGCAGGTGAGCCGCTGCTGCCGGACCCTGACACCCCGCCTGGGAAGCGGCAGGGAGAGGTGCGGGGCTCTCAGGAGAGATGTAGAGATGGAGCACCCTTTCCACACGTATTTATTGGAGAGGGGTCTGTGGAATCTGCAGCCTCTCCCGTTTTCAGCCCATCTGCAAGTTGCTGACGCAGGCCCGAGTCCCTCACGACAAATGGGAACCTCTGTGTCTTCCTGAGAAGAAGAAAACGTTTCAAAGGGGCAACAGCGGGTGGAACATCGTGATTAATTTACAGTAAAATCCCATTCCCGTGTTCCTGTTACCACCTTGGAGGTCGATGTGTATGTAGAACTGCTACCCTTCTTTCGTTTAAAATGAAATAAAAAAAAAAATGCTCACACTTTGCAGTGAAACTTTAACCTTCCCTTTAGAAATCGGCCCAAAAGGTCAGAGCTGCGGTCCTGTAGATTTCCGGGGCTCAGCTGGGAACTCATTAGCACGCCAGCTCTGTCACAGACAGCTGTATGAACTCTTTGTCGTCCACTCCCTGTGTATTACGAATATATTTATCTCCTTCCTTCAGGCGTCCGCAGGACAGGTGCCAGTTCTGCCTAAGCACCTCCATCCGTGTCCTGTCTCAGGGTCGGTGGTGCGGAAGGTGGGGACAAAGATGGCAGGAGATGCTGGACCCAGGCTGCCGTGGGCGCTGCTGGGGCTGGAGTCTTGCTCGGAGCGGTGCCCCACTCCCTGGCACACACCCCAGGAGTTGGCTTCCTGTGTGGCAGAGATTGCTGTGGTCCGGTGGGGTCCTTGCAGCTGCTGTGCCATGGGGTGCGTGAGGGGATGCGTGCAGGGTAGGAGTTTTGTGTTTCCGCACCCACGCGGACTCATTAAAACCGCTGATGGGTTCCCTCGTGCAGGATCGGCACCAGCACCCGGCCAGCTGTGATCAGGACAGTGGAAGGTGGGTGGGGTGGGACTGGTCCCTGGGGGATGAGGACGGCACTGGCTGTATTTGCCGCCTGTGACCCAGGTGCCACGATCTGCGTGTGGGGTGTGAAGACCACGTGTGTTCTGCTCCCGGAGCTGACGGCTGCTGAGCCTTCGGTCCTCTTTACTCCCCTCGTACCTGTGAGCCAGTTGTTGGTCCTGGTTCTACAGACAAAGACAGGGTCCTTAGGCTTGGGGCTGGGTGGGGGCCTTAGAGGGGTGGGTAGTAGTGGGGAGGCCGCCAGAGCCAGGAAGTGCAGGGCTCTTGCAGGAACAGTAGATCCCGGGGGAGGGGACGGGGCTGGGCCATGCGGGGACCTCCCAGCTTGGACACTGCCCACCTTGGGGATGCCTGGACTTTTGACAAAGCTGGTGTGGGTCCTCTGTGAGCCCCCCCAGTCTGGAGACACCTTGACTTCCTCTGTCCGTCCCTGGGTAGCGAAGGCAGAGGAAACTGAAGGGGACAGGACGAAAGGGTGCACAGACACAGAGGCCAGAGGCCCGCAGAGAGCCTGAAGGACCCTTGAGGCAGGGAACCCACCTCTTGGGGTCTGGGCTCCGCCCTGGCCTGACACAGGGACAGGTGGCAGAGGACAGGGTCCCTGTGGACCCCTGGCTCTATGTGTCTCCGGGAGAAGGCTGGGGTGCACAAGGAGGTGTCTCCAGGTGACCCTGCAGTCTGTCCACGCTGCCTTCCCTGAAGACAGCGCCAGCTGCTGCCCTGTAGGTCCCCTGGGCTCTGCGGGTGGGCACCATCGCTCTTCTGTCATTTTCCTGGGAGAGCTGCGGTTGCTGGGGAAGCGAGTCACAGAGGCGGGACGAGGGTGGGGCCGGGGAGCCAGGTGAGAGCAGAGTGCTGGGAGCCAGGCTTGGGGTCGCAGGAGTCACTGGGGCTGGGAAGGGCGAGGGAAGCGAGAGGAAGAGGAGGATCAGGATGGTGAAGTCTCTCGGCCAGGTCTCTCAGGGGCTGCTGGATTTGGGGTTTGTGTAGAAGATCGAGGAGGAAGGCGGAAACTGTTGGGAGTTCATGGTCAGAGTCAGCCTGCATGCTTGGGAGTGGTCTGTGTAACAGGTGGGACAGGACCCTAGGACACAGGACATAGGCTAGAACAAAGTGGCAAGGCAGGGCCCGGCCCGACCCGGACGCTGAGCCTCTGTCGTCCTCAAACCTTGAAGTCGGCAAGTGCTTGCTTCCGAGCTCACGTGCTGGTGTCTCTGCCAGCGCCCCCTGCCCCACTGTCCCACCCTCCCTGAGGCAGATGTGGACACATTGTCCAGCGCACACTGTCCCTCATTGTCCTGCCATCTAGCTCTAACTCAGAAGAGGCAGGTGTCACCGCGTGTGCCTGCCTGTCCACCCAATTACCGTGCCACAGATGACGTGAGACCCTGGGCTCCGCTCTGGTCACAGAAGCAGCACGGGGACACTGAACAGCTAGGGACCAGGGTCCCATCTGTCTCTGGCCGATTGTCACAGGGTGAACTCGAGTGGCTTCACTTTCCACATCCGACAGTGGCACTTGGCCAAAATCACCCTGCTGCTCAGTCCTGACTATGATTGTAATCCGGGGCCCTCAGTTGCCCCGGAAGGGCATCTTGTTGCTGTGGGAGCTCAGTGGTTCTCTGTGGAAAGACCGGGCAAGAAGTGCCTTGTGCAGAAGCAGGAGGACGATGTGCACTGTCATGTGCGTGCGTGTGTGTGTGCACGTGTGAGTGCGTGTGCGTGTGTCTGTGATGTTGTTTAGAGAGTGCACTTCCACACTGAGCTGCCTCCCCTGACCCTTCAACTTAAGGGCCACCTCCTGGTCCGCCAGGAGGGTGATCAGGCAGTTCCTCTGCTGCCCTTTATTGAAAACATTTCCACCATCACCTCAGGTGGTGTCTTTCTCTGGCAGGTCTCTGACACTCCTTCCGGGGGTCCCTCTGTGTGACACGCCCCTCCTGTGCTTTGTTTCTCACTCTAGAAAAATAATGACAATCCCAGTAAATAAAAATTAATAACTGTATTTTTATGATGGCAAGCGGGAGGCTGGAATTCCCGGTAATTCCCTGGATCGTTTGCAGTGCAGGTGTTGGCAGGCAGTCTTTCCTTCCCTCTCCTCTGTAGATGCCCTGTGCGGGTTCTTTCTGCAGCCCCTCTGCTCCCCGGGAGGGGCAGGCAGTGTGGTGCAGGTTCCTAGAGCTGGCTGGGGGCTGGGATGTCAGTGTCTGCACTGAGAGGGAGCGGGAGGAGGGAGGAGGGAGCTGGGTGGGGAGAGGAGCGCAGCCACAGTTCAGGTGTTAAACTGGCCATGTGGAAAATTGCTCTGACAGTTATGATGTTGTTGTCTCGGTAGCAAAGGTTGTGTTATCATTTATCGCAGCCACGCCTGCTGGCACCGCTGGCCTGCCTGTCTCATGTGGATGTTGGGGCAGCAGGCCACTGGGAGCTGGTGGCCAGCCCAGGACCCCTGGTGGCCGTGCTCCACCCTCAGGAGCTCTGTGTCCCCTCCTGAGCTGTTGATTCCCGTTCCCCAGGCCTGGATTGAAGCACCGAGCCAGACAGCGGGAGGATGAGTAGAGCTGGTATTTAGGGGGTACCCACTGTCAGCCTTGTGCCCCCTTGTGCCGCCTGCGGGCGGGGATTGGTGGGGAGACCTGATCGCCTCACCCTGCTCTGTCCCTTGGGCTCTGGGTCACCTCTGCGAACACCGTGTCCTCCCATGTCAGGGGCCATCCTGGGCTTGGGAGACGAAGCTGCAGACTTCTGCCTTCCCCACCCAGGGTGGTGAGCTCGAGGCACAAGTCCTGGATGAGCTGGAGGGGGCGGTGCCTGGGACCTTTGTGGGCCTGCTCACAGCCATTTTCTTTCTCCCTGGAAGGTGGGGGGTCCTCTTTCTTGCCCTTCCCATCTGAGAGGGCGTACAGGGTGTGCTGAAGGGAAGGTGGGGTTTTATGTGCAAATTGAGATCCTGAGGCTCAGGGACACGCTCCCCAGACGCTTCCTTCCTGTCCCTGGTGACAGCCATGTGTGTCCTGGGGATCTAGCAGAGCCCAGTCCGGAATTGGAGCTAGAGGAGCAGGTGAGGAGGTGGCGCTGTGGAGCTGGCACCCTGGGCACCAAGCAGGAAGCAGGAAGGGCTGCCCAGGCTAGGGGTGGGGTGGGAGGGCCATGTGCCACTCAGTGCTGTGACTGTCCATGGGGTGCCAGCCAGTGCCGATGAGGAGCCCTGGGTCCCTCTTATCCTATCACCCCCACCACCACCACTGTCCTCTGGCTCGCTGTGAGGCAGCTGGTGGTACCCACCTGGCCTCCTGAGCTGTTAGAAGGACGTGTGATTCCCCCAGAGCCAATGACCCTTTGGCAGGGGATTGGGAACCTGAGGGAGCAGGAAGAGAAACTGGGCACCCTCTGAAAACCAGGAGACTGAGATCTCCCCCATGGCTCCAGAATCCGGGGACATCAGATGAAGTCACCTTGAAGGGTGGTGAGTTCCTTGCCCAATGGATGAAGTAACCCAAAACCAGGCAGGGCTTGATCACTCCACGATTGGTGGCGGAGTGTCCCAACCCTAGCTCCCGCCTTCCCTGTGTCCTGTGGACAGGAAGGGTAGGTTCACTGCACTTAATGTCATTACTGTGGGGCGGGGGACCCCTGCCCTGGCTCTGTGACACAACAAAGGATAGTAATTATTCTCCAAGGAAGTCTTCATTCTGAGCCGTTCCCCTTCTGTGGTAATTAACATGACATGTCATTAACAGTCAGGGAACATTGTATGATCAAAGACGGCATAATACGTAGCAAGATTCTGAGGAATAGCACAATATTTGTTAATTATGTTATTGATTCTTATGGTCTGGAATGCCCTAATTATTCCTGGTCCCATGCGGACCTCGCCATGCCCGCCAGGCTGACTTTGAACTGCTGTCCTTCCCGGGCAGCCCAGACCCCTGCTCCAGAGCTGGTGGGACCACAGCTTGCAAGGCGATCAGAGGAGCTTTGCCTCCCCAGGGCCACATGAAAGAGGGAGCTGCTGGGAAGCGGGGCTGCTTCTCCTGAGCTCCTCCCACAGCTCCCACTGAGCCGAGGAGCGAGAGAAGTGTAACATCGGTCTCTAATTAGCCAGATGCTGTTAATTGACTTCTCTCAGGCTTCCAGGGGGACAGACCTTCATCCAGGCCCAGGCCACCTGCTGCAGCTGATCAAGGGCTGGGTGGAGCTCGGGTGAGGCCTGATGGGGCCAGGAAGTCTCTGGGGAGACTGCCAAGCGTGTCTTGGGTGCCCCCTCTAGGGCTTCCAAGCTGCTGCGTGGACTGGCATGGCTCTCTCTGCAGCATCATGACGTGACGCGTGCTTCTTAATCGGCTCTGTTAGGAGTGGGCCAGCTCCCTCCCTTTGTTGAATCTTGCAATTAACCTTTGTTAATTGCACGACAGTCATCTTCCCGCTTGGATCTCTGAGTGATGCTGGTGGGGAAGGGAGGAGAAGGGCTTGTCTGGCTCAGGAAGGTGGCTTGTGGTGGGGATGCTGAGGAGGCCAGGCAGACTTTGCCTGAAAAGGTCTGTATAGTCAGCTATTCATTACTGGAGCAGAATATCTTATACCCACAGTAAAGGAGAAAAAGCTTACCTGGATTTTGGCTCATGGTTCGGAAGTCCCAGTCCATGGCTCCAAGGCAGAGACATCAGGGTGGGAGGGGGTGGCAGGGAAAGCTGCTCCCTTCATGGCAGCCAGGAAGCAGAGCAAGAGGGAAAGAGCGTGAGAGGAAGGGGCCGGGATCAGATCTCATGTCCAACGTCACACCGCCATCACTCACCCAGAAGCACCCACAAGCGTGCTTTGACTCATTTCCTAGATAGTTTCCAAGCCAACTGAAGCCCACCTAAACTATCTGGCATTATGACCCTCAGTGCAGAAAGTTTATGATGTATGGAGCAAGAAGCTCCCTGTCAGTGACTCCAGGGCGCCGATTCTGTGGCCGGGGTTGTATGGGAAACGGCTGGGGAAGGGAGGAGGCTGAAGGGGCTGCTTTGGTGGGCTTCGTGCTGTGCCTGGCCCCTGCCCTCCTCTTGTTTGGTCTTTTCAGCATTTCCTCACTATTCTGGACCGTGAGGGCCGGAAGGAGGTGACCAAGGGCCTACACTCCTCCATGGCAGAGCCATGTCCAGGACTCAGCCATTATTTGAGGGTCCTGGACAAGAAAGGCAGTTTCCTGCCTCAAGCTGGATGGCAGGGAGGGAAGGTGACCAGAGCCCTGGCACTGTACCTACCCAGCTCCACTGTGCCCTTAACCTCACCCCTGCCAACATCTGGGACAGGACAGACGCAGAGAAGTCAGTGCCTGGCTGCTAGAGGGGGTCTCTTGGATGCACAGGGGTGAGGTGGGGACACTGTGACTGGGGCTGGCCCCTGGCTGCACGTGGTGTGCTCTCGGCCCCTGGGGCACAGGTACCCAGCCCTGAAGGCTCCACCTTTCTTACTGGCTCAGCTCCACCTGCCTGACCCTTTCCCTCCATGTCTCGGGGAGGTTCCTGACTCCCCCTTTTCCTAATTTCCTTTTCTACTCACTCTGAGCCATTGCAAAGGATCCTGAGAAAGGTCACTGGCCAGAAGGCAGGGAGATGTGTGGAGACCTGAAGGTTTCCATGTCAACAGTTGCACATAAACGGGATCATGTTATGCTTGATTTTTAATTCAACCTCTTTAAAGGTTTTCCCCGAGCTCTCTGTCCTCCTTTCTGTCCCTTCCACCTGCTCTCACACCCACTCGGTGATCTCTGCCAACCTCCTTCCATGCCATACAACTTAGCCTTGGGTGGACTCCCTCTCTCTCCCTCTCTCTCTCTCTCTCTCTTTCTCTCTCGTACACATTGAGAGGCAACTGTTGCTTCATAAAAACAGGATTCTACTCTTCAGTGTCTTTCGGAATCCAAGAGGGATTGGCTGCTTTATAGACCAAGGCATGGCGTTTGCACAGAACCCATTGATACCTCCTGTATATTTTAGATTGTCCCTGGGTTAACTGTAATACCTACTCCAGTATATGTGCTGTGTAAATAGTTGTTCTGCTGCATTGTTCAGGGTTATGCCAAGAAAAATATCTGGACATGGTCAGTGCAGATGCAAACCCACCCTAACCTCCCACCCACCAACACCCATGGATGGCCATTGTTTAAAAAGCTATTCCCCTATTAATGGGTTTTCACCCCCCACTTCCCTGCATAACATTTTCTTTTAAAGCAGAAAATGATGGTTTGGAAAGCACAACTGAGGTCAAATAGGTCCCTTCCTGAACACCTTTTGATGGCTGCCCGTCTATCTCAGGACACAGAGCAGTTCAGAAGGGGGTCTCGTGTCTTGGATCTGACCCCTCTCCAAGCTCAAAGTCTGACCCAGCCAGAATGGGCCACTCTGGCTTCTTCAGAGGCACCTGCTGCCTGCCAGGCCCTGGTGCCCACCACCCTCAGTGCTCCTGAGCTACCTGGCTGACTTTCTGCCTCAGACAGTGCCCGGCTCCTCAGGCAGTGG